AGCGCTGCCCAACGGGGCCCCCCCGGGTCCCCCCCCCGTGGCCGACGACAGCAAAACCAACCTGATCGTCAACTACCTGCCGCAGTCCATGAGCCAGGAGGAGCTGCGGAGCCTCTTCGGCAGCCTCGGAGACATCGAGTCCTGCAAGCTCGTCCGGGACAAGGTCACCGGTACAGGCAGGGGACAGGGGCCTGGGGACACGGGGACAGGCAGAGGGACAGCACATGGGGACAGGCAGGGGCACGGGACAGGCAGGGGACACGGGACGGGGCAGGGGCACGGGACAGGCAGGGGACACGGGACGGGGCAGGGGCACGGGACAGGCAGGGGACACGGGACGGGGCAGGGGCACGGGACAGGCAGGGGACACGGGACGGGGCAGGGGCACGGGACAGGCAGGGGACACGGGACGGGGCAGGGGCACGGGACAGGCAGGGGACACGGGACGGGGCAGGGGCACGGGACAGGCAGGGGACACGGGACGGGGCAGGGGCACGGGACAGGCAGGGGACACGGGACGGGGCAGGGGCACGGGACAGGCAGGGGACACGGGACGGGGCAGGGGCACGGGACAGGCAGGGGACACGGGACAGGGCATGGGGACAGGGCACGGGGACAGGGCACAGGGACAGGGGGATAGGGCAGGGACACGGGGATAGGCAGGGGACAGGGGCCTGGGGACACGGGGACAGGCAGAGGGACAGCACATGGGGACAGGCAGGGGACACAGGGCAGGGACAAGGCATGGGGACATGGCATGGGGACACGGGGCAGGGACAAGGCATGGGGACACGGGGATGTAAGGTGTGGCAGATGGGACCACAGGGACACGGGCAGTGGGACAAGGGACACAGCACATGGGGAAATGGGACACGGTGACGTGGGAAGGGAGAGGGGACACGGGGACCCGTGGGGACAGACAGGGATAGATTCGGTGGCAGCAGGGACAATTCAGTGTCCCCACAGGTGTGACCCTGACTGCCACGTCCATGGGGACCCAGGGGACAGCGAGGCTGGGGGGTGGCCGTGGATCTGAGGACAGGGGTGGGAGCACAGTGGGGACAGGGACGGGGGTGGCTTTGGGAGCACAGGGGACACAGGGCCACCGCGGTGACAGTGACACCGTGCCCCAGGGCAAAGCCTGGGCTACGGCTTCGTCAACTACGTGGAGGCCGGCGACGCCGACAGGGCCATCGGGGCCCTCAACGGCCTCAAGCTGCAGACCAAGACCATCAAGGTGCCCTGGGGACATGGGGGTGGGCACCTGGGGGGCTTCCGGGGTGGGGGAGGCAC